TCGTGTTTGAATATGAATACAAATGTGAGATGAATATAAAGTAATCCCAAAATTCACAATGACCTTCAAAGTCATTTTTATATCGTTACTAAATTTATATCATAATTACATTGTAGTGTTACAACGTTTACTAAAATCTGTATCACATAAAAACAACAATTAATACAGAGCGAGATAGAGACTCTTTCTATCTGAAATCAGGAAAATTAAATTAAATTTTTAAACGATTTATTCATCTTAGCAGTCGAATGAGTTTGAGATGTAGTTAAAATAAATAAAAAAAACAACTACAACTTTTGACATAAAGTTTTTACTTAGTCAATACGCACTTCTGGTGCATCTTAAAGATGATTAGTGATAAATTTTTTTGTGAATCTATAGATTTCGATTGCATTTCACGAATTTCTATATTATTTTAAAGTTTATCGAATATACTAAAATCTAGTGCTGTTTTTAATCTAACACAATAGAAATAAATTGTCACGATTCTAAGTTACGTTCTAACATAATAGAAAAATAAATTTTATTACCTACCGCATCAAATTTCAAGGTATTTGCCACGAACAAAATAGAAAATATTTTGCTTATGACTGTAAATTATATATTAGTTTTTTCTTTTTAACGATTCATTGAGCGTAAAGCTATTACTTAGAATGAATCGAGCATATGTAAACATTCAAATGATTAAGGCTTTTCTCGTTCTTCCATTTCATTAAAGAAAAAAGGTAAAACCTTGACATAATATTTTATCACTATTCATTCGTGTTATACGCGAGCAACCGATAACATATACCAATCATTCTACGGTAATACGAGTACAGGTGGATATATGTGAAGAAAAAAGACACATACACACATACAATCGAAATGAAGCGGAACGTATTTATAACGTTTCATATACAAATCTTGAGGATGAGTGTGGGTGTGGGTAATAATCTGTTCTATATGAACACCCACGCCCTCAATAAATACAAATAAATGTAATCATAGAAATACCACCTTATGTTTTTACTCAACACAAGAATTTTAAAAGTTAAAAATTGTTACTTGAGAGTGAGTGTTATATTCACCTTTCACTTAAACTCACATCCTATTTTTTTAATAGTGTTAAAGAATCGATTGTGAATGAAATGAATTTAACTAAAACAATTATATTGATGTAAAATGCTTCAGTATGATTTTGTATATCGGAAGAATAATTCATAGGTATCCAATACGAAGATTCCCGTTTCAAACGAAATCATTTTGACATTAAATATATTATCTCAATCAACTTAATTTCATATTTTCTATTAAATAATATTTATATAGATGGAGATACTAATGCATTTATTTTCAAAAGTATTAACGTACAGAACTGTCAACGAAAACTATCTTGAGGATGTAGTTATGAATGAGAATAATAGTATTGAATCTAATACATATACATCTCGCCTGTAGCTACACTCCCGTCTTCGAAACAATTTCTATAGTATACTATTCCTACTTGTAAGCATATGACCTAGATATAAATCAAGATAAGAAGAAGTGTTACTTACCGTATTTGAAGAGCATATGCTGACATATATTTATCTCTAAAAAAAGAAACAAAATAATTACACATTCATTTTTCTACTTGTAATGGTGACAAAGAGATCAACATTATTTTTCTTCTTGCTTCAGCTGGTAGCTCAAGTCTCTGCGACTTATAGCCGTTATGATAAATGTCCATTGAATGGTGCGTATTCGATTTGTTTTTCCTCATCATAGTATGATTACGAGGATATTATCCACTTTGCTTGCTTGCTTAATGAAAACTGTCTGTAATATATCATTAATAAAGTCGGTAGAAATGACTGAGTCAGACTTCAATTATTTTTCAGATACATGGTTTTGAGAAAGGACAGTGATACATAAAAGTTTCTGTACGCCTCTTCAAATCAATATTATCTTATGAAGCATTGAGAACTCTATAAAAATACATATTTATTATCTGCAAGAAACCATTTATGGATTGGATGCGATATCTAAAATATATTTTCTGATGTGTTATCGAAAATTGAGTCTATTTATCTGATACAAGTTTTCTGAAATCAAATCTACTAGATTTTATGTTTCATTCGACGAGTTGAAACTTAAATAAACGAGACAGTGTACTGATATAGTTTCCCATCATCTTTCGAATAAGACTATTTTTTTTTTCTATTGAAATCAACAACAGCATTGCGAATGTTTTTGAAACAAGGAAACGTTACTAGACGATTAAATTATTAAGTATAATGTTTTTTAGCATTCTGTCCGACAAAAACATGGGAAATGAATGGTAAAACAGTGGCTGGTGGCCATGGTGAAGGAAATGCTCTTTATCAATTAAACTCTTCATATGGATTGTTTGTTGATTCCAATGATGCAGTCTTTGTTGCTGATTATTTTAATCATCGAGTTGTTAAATGGGATCGAGATGCAGTAAGTGGTTTCCTTTGGGCCGGAGGTCATTGTGGAACAAGTGAACAAGGCAAACTTTGTCTTCCTACTGCTCTCACATTTGATAAGGAAGGTACTTTGTTTGTTACCGTTGAAGAAGGCATAAATGGAAGTGTGATCCGTTGGAGGAAAGGAGCTACTGCAGGTGAAAGAATAATTAATGCCAGTACTTCACTTTACGGTATTGCGTTAGATAAAAAAGAAGAATATTTCTATGTTGGGCACCATCGCGAACATTGTGTAGTCAAGTATACGAAAAATGGTCAATTTGTGGGTGTTGTTGCTGGCGGAAATGGCAAAGGAGAAGCTCTCAATCAGCTTGACTATCGTAAGTATACTACTAGCAATGTTTTAATAGATATTTCTATTTTCTATTTTCTTTTCAGCTCGAGGTGTAGCAGTTGATGACAATGGTGCTGTCTATGTAGCAGACTCTAACAATCATCGTGTAATGAAATGGATGGCGAATGCTAAAGTAGGAACTATTGTTGCTGGTGGAAATGGCAACGGTAGTCGAACAGATCAGCTTAGTGTAGTTGGTGGTATTACTTTAGATGAGCAAGGAACAATCTATGTTGTAGATGATCATAATCACCGTGTTATGAGCATACCTGTAGGGTCACGGAATGGCACTATCATTGCTGGAGGACATGGTCCTGGCAGTGCTTCAAATCAACTTAATGGTGCTGTATCCTTAGCATTTAATAATGATGGGGATCTATTTGTTAGCGATTGGGACAATTGGAGAGTTCAAATGTTTAAAATGGATAAAAGTCCATCGGGTGGTAGTAACTATATTTGTGCTTTTGCAAGCAAATGGACTCTATTTACTTATTTTCTATTGTTGATGATTTTATATGCTAACCTACTCGAATAAAAATATCGTACAGTATCTGACACCAATATAACTGATAGGAAGCAACTCGGTGCATTCAACCTAGTTTTTGTGAGAGCATTTCTATATCTGAGGGTATGAATGTGGGCGAAAAGACAGGCGCAATGTCAAGACCCTATGTAGATCTTAAATGGTTTATTATAATTATATAAAAAATATCTATAATTCATATCCATCATAGACTTAATTTTGATGATATTACATTTTGATTCTATCGTTATAATTGCATTCATCTTTATTTTTCTCTTACTATGGTTCTATGTCAATATGACTCATGTTTTTCTTGTTCCTGTTGAAAATATATTTATGATAACATTTCTTTTTCATCTCATATTTAGCTCGTTGATAAGAAATGGCGTATTTTATTTTAATTGATCTCACTGTGTTTTTTCTTCTTATAATATCTTCAACTAAATTTGATACTGTAATGACACAACAAGAAAATTTCAATCCTTATGCTACGATATATATTTATTCTGGCTTACCAAATCCACAATGGCAGTTATCACTTGATGAATGGCAACAATTGAGCCAATTAATAGATACATTACCAAAATTAATCGAAGACAATGAAGGTTCTTATCTTTTTGATGGTCATTTAGGTTATTCTGGTTTTCATGCACATTTTTCAATTATTTCAAGTTATCCCGATATTTATTATGTGTCTAAAAAACAACAAGTTATTTTATCTAATCCTGGTGGACATATGATTTTTAATGATCAGCAGAAATTAGTCGAAAAATGGTTTATAAATAGTGCACAACATCATAATATTCAATTACCTCACGAATCTAAACTATTTTCTATCCAACAATAATTTAGAATTTAAATAAATAGTCAAACACTTTTTGTTGTTAATTCAATCTTAAAATAACAAGAGAAAGTTTTAAAAACTTCAGTCATTTGTAGTATTATTTTAACATAATAACGATTTGAAATATACTGAGATAGAAAACTCAAGTATGTTATATATCATATTCATACCTAGTAAACAAACAAAATGACATGTATATGTCAAATCATATGACCTTCTCTTCATTCGAGAGAAAAGTAAACTTCTTGAGAGTGAACAAAAATCTAGTTTATTACGGGAAAATAAATGAATAAATTTGTCGGAGCATAAAACGTGAATAAAATCAATTACGAGAAAATCTATTTACACATAAAAACAATCCAACGGTTAAAATAATAAAAATAGTTCAGTGTAGAATACTTTCTAATGTCACAAAGACTCTTCTTTCATCAGTGAAACAAATCTAACATGATTGATATTCTTTGAAATACTTATGAAATATTTTTATCATCATCAGATTCAATTGTCAACAAAATTCACTATATAACACACTTTAAAAATATAAAAAAGAAATCGAAAAGGAAATGACAACTTTTTTTCAATATACCATATTTGTATATCTTTGCATGGTTATTTAATGAAACATGTTAGGTGTCATCGAGCCGGGATTGAATGACTAAACAAACAAACAAACAAACAGAAAAGAAATTTATAGAAAACAAGAAATATTTATCTATTATTGAACGAGACAAATAATAGAAATGTTATTTACGTTCTTTTTACATTGATATTCTTGTCCCTTATTAATGTTAACATTCTATAATCAAAGAGCACTTTTATTAGTACAAAATGACATTAACTGGTAATGACTTGAGACGATGGATAATTTTAATGCTCATTGGGCAAGTATTAGGTAAATAATATATAATGATTATTTCCATGGTTTTTTTGATAAAACTAATTATAATTGTTTCTTATATTTTAGCTGTGTCTTATAATCAACCAAAATTCTGTCCAAATCCAGCATTTGATTTAAATGCTACCACTTTTGCAGATATCAGTACAATTGGCACAGAACCATACGA